AGGAATTCAGTGAGTTAGCGAGATTTTATCTATTTTTAAATATAGATAAAGTAGTAAGTTTGTTCAGTTAGTCATTCGTAACATACTAACGAGGTTTAATGACGACAGCGTGGACGGACAGGACTATTGCTGGGATATAGAAAATAGTAATATTTCATTTTCGTGTCTTTGTTTGAACTTTACCGATAGATTTTCAAGCGTGGTGATTTTATGCCTAACGTTGGTACGTATCATCTAGACAGTACCCCCTAGACAAGTGATACAGTAATATATATATATATATATATATATATATATATATATATATATATATATATATATATATATATATATATATATATATATATATGTGTGTGTACACACACACAAACAATTTGTTTCCGGGCTTTGTTCGTTAAACATTTTAGTTACGAGCGTAATTCTAAGTAAAGAATAACAATCCCAAGCTCCACCTGAGTTCCATCTAACACAAACAGCAAATACATAATATACATACATACATACATAAAGAATGTAAATAAATGCAGAAATAAAGCAAGAAATCCGATATTGTAGTTGTGGATTATCCCACTTGACTTTGCCAAAAAACCGTCGCTATGGGGGAGCTCCTTAAGCCTATAAAATGGCGTGCATTTCTCTACCTAGCCTATTTTATAGATGTAGTCGCACGTGGATAAAGAACCCCCCTCCAACTGGCATACGTCCCCTTTTCACGTTTTCTTTCATACACAAGCACATTCCTATTGTAGCTGGTTTCATATTTCTTCCTTTCGTCACATGTAATTCCTTTTGTAAATACATGCATTGTCGTTAGTTTTATATTTGTTTTGTGTTTTTTTGTACTCCAACTCGCATTGAATCCGCCAATATTGTTTGCAATTTATCAAGAGCCCGTAAATATTTGCAGTCCAAAGTGTTGACTCCCGAAATATTCTTCCACAATTATACTAGAGTCCCGCATCATAGGATCTCTTCCACAAGGATATTTCGCTATAAAATCGTAGAACTGTTTCACCATTAAATTATCGGTTTTCTTATCCTATCACTAGCAAATTCTTTAATCTACGCCAAGAGTTTACTAAATCCACGATAAAATTCCGGAATTATTAATTTTACTTATGGTTTTCACTGCATAAACACGAATTCGTCCTCGTTTTGTTATAATATTCTGCAAATTTTCGATTCCGCCATTCCATGCACCACACTGTCTGCTAACACATGTTCGATTTTCAGGTTGAGAGATTATTTCCTTAAATCTTAAGGTAAATTTCTCTTTTGTTGGTCCATGTGAGTTTCAGTTAACTTCTAATTATTTCATCAGAAAAAAATTGCAAGCTATGTTCACGAAATGGGGACGCTCCTAGCTATTCATGCGCAGTCTTCTTGTTATTCGAATTTCAGCTTAAGTGGATTTCATAGTCTTAAAAATGACAAATCGTTATGTTAGTTTAGCGAAATTAATCATTTTAAGTCACGACACTCATGAAGAGACGAAATTGATTTTTTTTTTTTTTTTTTTCTCAACTTCTGGTGTTAACCTGAACGATTTAATTCATAGACACTTGTGAAAGTAATGTTTTTCCCCAGAGAGGTTGAAATGATTTTACACGGCTGACGTTGCAAATTCGGCAGTCGGAAAGGGAATGTAAAGTTTCAAAAACTCCGCAGTGTGGAGGGAGGGGGGAGAGAACGAACGAACGAACGATGACAATGTATTTGAGAATATCTCTTAGATAAGAAAATCATATCTTGTGCATTTGTTATTGCATATAACTGCCAGGTTTTAGTGAAAACCTTCCTTGGTTTTACAGTGGAATCACTATTAGTAGGGATTGAAAATTCAGCACACTAAAGAAAATAGCCGCGAGATGACCACTGTACAATATGGCCTCTTAAGGACTTTGCCAATTTTCAATGCTCCTATCTCGGCACACAACTTAGCAAAGAAAACACAAGCAGTTGATCTTTACAGGTAGCAGTCTAAAACAACGCTTACTAAATACTTAAGATTTATAAACTTGCTATATAAAGTATATTTCAGCCTTCTCGCTAGATCAAATATGACAACAGCGAGTTCGATCCTCACTGACTGCTTATTTGCGGCACGTCTAAGCTATGTTTACTAAGTCACTATTTAAGCTTTTTGTAGACGGACTTAATAGAATATTTGCGAGTAGGAAGTAGGATTTTTTATGTCTTATATAAGGCAAGCTGAAGACTAATGCCGTGAAGTGGATTCTTTTAAAGATTTACGGCGTTTCAACAGAAATGCACCTTTCCAAGAAAGGTTTTTCGAAGACATTTTAAAACGCTCCCGATCTTCCTCCTAAAAAGTTGAAGTTATAAAGGTGGGGGGGTAAAAAAAGTTCATACATAATACACTCCTACTCCGGATTTCAAAACAGCTGATCTAGATATCCGGTGATTACATGGCATGTAATCCTTCCTCTGTCCATACTTTCTCACCAAAGACGATAATTTGTTAGTTTTCTACGGCTTACCAACCATATAAAGGTTATTTAAAGCCAGGAAATATTTTTAGTGTGAGTGTGCGGGAGGGTGGGTAATTGTTTAGGTGTACAAGTTTTACTAATTAACCAATAGCTTAGGTGGATTCATACCTAATCAGAATTTGATTAATCAACAAGAAATTATGCGGATATAAAGTGGGATATCGCGTCTATATTACATAGGTACCTCCACGAAATCGCTAAAAAAAGAGCATAGCTTGATGAAAAAGACGCCAACCTTGCCGAAAACAAAATTTTATTGTCTAAATGCTTATGTTATTATTAAGAGGAAAGACCAAAGTTTTTTAATTATTTTTAAAAAAATTTCCTTCTTTTTAGAACATTCTAAATTTTGATTAAAAAAACTTTTTTTCTATTTGTATCAGCGGAACTAGTAAATAACAGACTATTTTTAGCACGTTTTTTTGGTATGACACACATTAATTTGAAAAATCGTGCAAAAATAGAAATAATTATCGGATGTTAATGAAACTTTCAGGAACTATTCACAGATGATCGAAATTATTATAAATGTTTTTTTATGAAAGTCATGGTAGAAATATTTTTTTAAAATATTTATTACCCCCCCCCATAACTAATTTTATGAAAACGCTAGAAATTCGATCGCATCGGTTTTAGTGATTACAATAATTAAAAGCACAGGGCTTTGAGGAATGCAAATCATGTTTTTTTGTTTTTAATTGGATACGCAGTACCTGAAAATCAGCTCTGAATTGTAACATACAAAAACTCAATAAAACAAAGATATTATTTAATTTCAAATGCTTTTATTTGCTTTTAGTTGTTTTTATGAATATGGACAATATTTTCTGAAAGCAAAAAATTATTTCGATGAAAAAATGAATTTTTAATACAATTATTTGTTATTTCATTAATTATAATACATTTTACATTTAAGTTGTTAAAATATTATAAAATTAGTTAAAAAGCCGCATCGGCTTTCATAAGTGTCCTTATGAGATAGATTTTTTTTTTTTAGCGCGTTTTAAATTGTATCCTTTTTGACTAATCAGAAGATCCCCAGTAATTAAGAAATGTAATTTTGTGCTTATAATCGAGCTGTAATTATAAAATACAGAAGACCAACCAGAATATAATTAAGTTGCGTTATTTGAGTTAAGCATTGTTCTCCGCTGTTAAGGCCTTTACTTTTTGAAACACGTGTGGAGAAGTTAATTTGATTTTTCAATTTCAACTGAGAAGGTTACCTACAAGTATCAGTATCATCTTATGAAATTTATATGATCTTATTTTTTATATTAATCTCAGTTACGACATTTTTCCATAAATGAAATATCAAAATTAATAAAATGAATGCAAATACAAATAACAGTAGAATGTAATAAATGTACATAAAATTATAGTATTTTATGTACAATTCTGATAAAATTTCATAAGAAAGGTACCTATAAATTAATTAGATACCTTTAAGAAATATGGAATTTAATGTCACCCTTAACAGTTTTATTTTAATTTCTTTAGAATATATTTCCCATAAAGCATCATAAACGTAAAGGTGAAAGCTAAGTACAAAAAAAAAAAAAAAAAAAAAAAAAAAAAATTAGACCACTGAAAGTTTCCGTTAAAAATAACGGGGTAAATAATTTGTTCACGTAAATGTAAATTATTTCACTTTTCTCCTTCCGTAGAACAAATTAGCCTCATGGAATTCGTAAATATATCATTCATCACATGTCAAGAGACGCGAAAGTTTATGACCTGCTTTGTTTTATTTTCAAATTACATCTTTTTGGCACAAAAGCCAAGTTAAGTTTGGTTCAAAATATTTTAAATAAACATTATAATTTTTAATTTTCTTAAAATTAGTTTTGAAAAAATGATAATTGATATTTAAAAAAATTTCAAAGTCAGATTTCCAGCTTTTTTTTAAAATGGAAAAAATGGTCAATTTTGCTGACTCAAAAAAAAACTAGATTTTTAACGAAAATTTCGGACGTGCTAGAAACGATTAAAAAAATGGAAAAAATACCCCAAAAATACTTTGACCTTTCCTCTTAATAATAACAAACATTTAGACGATAAAATTTTGTTTTCGTCAAGTTTGGCGTCTTTTTCATCATGCTATGCTCTTTTTTTAGCGATCTCGTGGAGGTACCTAATATTACAGTATAAACTGACCCCTCACTTTGTGGCCACGGTTGTTTCTATACACTTATATTCCAGGCGATATAAATAAATCTGAAATTCTACGGCTTACCAACCTTTTGCAAGTCATTTAAAACCAGAAAATATTTTTTGTAAGATTTTTTTTTTTTTAGTGGAGGTTGTAGTGGTAATTGTTTAGTGATACAAGTCTTACTAATTAACTAATAGCTTAAGGAATCAAAGGTGGATTCATACCATTCGCCAGGGGTATTTGCCCGTAAATGAATATAAACGAGGCAAACAGGTATTGAAACTCGGCTCTCCAAATAATTCCTAGGTAGTATCCATTATACCACACCCAAGTTTACAACACCTGGTATTCCCAAGCGGTCATCCATCTAGGTAGTGCCCAGGCTCGACGTTGCTTAGCTTCGGTGATCGCACGGGACAACTGTTTCAACAGCACCACAGACGAGCAAATGACAGTATTTTACAATTCTAACTCGAAACCGGAAGTAGAAAGATATCACGTGGTGTGAGCATAACAGAAGTAGATTTACATGGCAAAAATGGAGAAAATTAAAAGTTTATATTCACGATCAGGAGTAATCGGTAGTAACAATGAAAAAGTTACTATTTCTTGGAAAAGTGCGTTTTCAGCAGATACGTAAAATTTGTTTACCCACCCAAACGAAAAAGGACTTACCTCGGTTCTGTGGATAGCAGCTAAAAATCTCACGGCATTGCTCGTTGTATTTTCCACTGTCGCGCTCCCATAATGAGCAAATATGGCTAAAATTTTCCATTTGGGATTAGACAAGCCCATCAGTATCGCTTGTGCGTCGTCAATTCCAGGATCGGCGGATACAATCATCAGCTTTGGGAGTTTTTGTTCCCGATGTTCTGCCTTCTTTTATAGTAAAATAAAATTAAAAAATAGCAAAAATAGAACTGAACGGATATATTTTGATTCAGCTTAAATCATATTTAAATAGAGAATTTAAGACATGCACATATTTTAGAAACTGCAGATTCAAACAGACGGTTACTGCAGCAGAAGGATTTTTCATAGATTGTTCAACGGCCGGTTTCAAATAGAAAGCGAGGTGATCAGTTTTGGTAATTTTTTTTTAACGTCAAATATTTTCATTTATATGTCTAAAATTAACGCTGACGTTTTTCCACTAAGAAGTTTTAAATTACGTTCTAGTCGCACCAAGTATAATTTCGGACTTAAGCTCAGATCTTATTTAGAAATATTTAAGATGTACAAAATACGTGTTAGTAGACTTATCCGTGATATTAAGAGAAAGATCAACCGTACAGCCGAAGCCGTCATTCAGTTACATTATATAAACCCGACAAAATATTTAGATCACACTTAATGGTAATATTAGAAGTTTCCTTATAAGGAAACATTCGGCATTCATTGACTGACAGATTTAGAGCAGACTTCTGAAACAAACACTAACGTTACGTTTATGAACAAATATAAGCGAATTATTTACGACGTTTTGCTTTTCTATGTTGCTTAAGTTCACCCAATACAAGGTAGACGAAAATCGTTGAGGTGTGATAGGAAGTGAAGATTATAAAGATAAAAACGATATTTAAAAAGATTAGCCTTCGACATAAGGTTAAGATCGCAGTTGGAAGTATTCACGCAGTAGCCACCTCCACCCCCCCAACAAAAATAAAACTTAGCAGTTTTTAAAAGAAAAAAAACTTTCCCAGTGAAGCTGTCTCTTTCCACTTGGAAAGAGTTTTTTTTTTTTTTTTCAATACAGAGGAAATGCGGCCGATTCGACTTCGTGGAGAGTCCTAGTTTTAAAAAGGTCTGAACTTGTGGAACTAAAGAATTCACCTGACAATTTGACTCGGAAATAGGGAAAGACTTGCGTAAGTTTCGTCAATGAGAAAGACGATGCAGTTAAAGTTCATATTTACAATGATAAATAGAATGGATATTTACTTGACTCCCCCCCCACTGAGTCAGGTTGTGACACAAGGTCAGTTTTTAACGTGTGGAGAAGAGTGTTTTCACTTGGGCCGCTGGTCTTAGCTGGTCAGAGCCGGTCCAAGCTAGTCGCAGCCGTGATACCACCAGCCCAGGAACGGAGCCCTGTGCCAAGTAAGTATCAATGATAAATAGAATGCCGTTATATAAAATGATACGAAAAAAAGTTATAGCGAATGTACATACAATTATAAGATTCGTTAGCACGTGACCCTCCTCTCGATATAATATGGCAGGTAAATAAAGAAAAGATTGTTGGGTTTTTTTGGGTTTTTTTTTTTTTTTTTTTTTTAAAAAGAGCCTAAGATTTCAATTCCATCTTCTGTCATTTAACTAGGGTGGGAAGGATTAAAAAAAAAGAATGAAATTTCATGCATGAAACGTTTAAAAAGACTATACACATCCGCGGACTAAGTCATTAGTACCTGGCGTTCCGCAAAGAATTTTCCAAACATCCGCTAGCTAAATTAACAGTATGGCGTTCCTGAAACAGTAGCAAATTGAAAAACAGTTACGAGGGGAAGGCTATTATTTAATATTTATCACTTTTTCGGCAAGAACATTTTTAGCGTATATTAACTCCAAATAGGTGACAAGGGTACGCTTCACTCCCCACGCCTCCTAAAATTTGTAATAGCCCAAACTCGATACAGAAATGTACGAGAAATACAGAAATTATGTGGGGGGGTGCGCTCACGTGTGTGGGGGGGTGACATGTCACTCCGTGGAGCTTGTCATGTTACTCCAAGTGAATCGAAAATGCTACGAAGAGACAAGAGATGTTACTGGGAGTGGAAGAGAATGAGAAAACTTTAGTGAGGACAATAAAAGAAACGGCATTTAAATTTTTGATGATTGTAGGTGACAGGGAAGCAAGAAATCTGAAGAGATTCACAGGTAAAAAGTGCGAGAAAATGAACTATTAGAATAGAACGTGTGGTTACATTTAGCTAGTTTAACAGTAAAGCAATGGGACCTAATTACCAGTCCAGCAACACGCTTAAATTCATGTGGTTGAGGTACTAGGGATGAAAATTCCGAACAACTGCTATGAAAATATTTATAGAAAAGATAGAGAGAATCTACGTCACACACGCACACACATATATACAGTGACACACGGACATATATATTTATGATAAAAATATAGTTTTAAGGTATGCTATATTTATGAGTTAAAGTACTCAATATCTGAGATAGTGCGTATGTAAATATAAAAGTGGACACTGAGGTCAACACCAAGTGGTGACATTCTGTTTCATGATTCATACCTGTCCACTTATATATATCTATATATATATGTATGTATGTATGTATGTATGTATATATGCATGTATGTGTGTGTGTGTCTTTTCTGTAAATATTTCTCATAGTAATTGTTTGGATGATCTCTTCGCTATGGTACCTAGACTCTTTGAATGTAAGCGAAGTACTGGGCTGTCATTGAGACCTCATTAATTTACACTTGAGTTAGCTAGATGTAACCACAACGCACACACACGCGCACACACACACACGCGCACACACACACACACACACACACATATATATATATATATATATATAGTGCGATGGATAAATTGTCGTCTAAATTGTACAAATATGAAAATAACACTGACATTTCATTTTAACAAATATAGCTATCAAAATTACACAAAAATATCTTGAAATACTAAAAAGTAAATGTATTCAATAAAATTGCTATTGGCTTCAACCACAGACTCCAGATGACTTCGGGATCTGCTGCAACACTTCTAACCCAGAGCAGCACTACCTCCTCAAGGCACTTTATGTAGGCCTCCGGGAAGATGAATGGTTGCCATCACGAGTGATCAAGAAAAATACACAGTTTTCAATTTTTTTTCTCCGGATAGCTGAATAATAAAAGGTGTTCAAACTTCTTTACTGAAGGTAATTCCCTTCGTAATATTCAGCGATCCTTTGGAGATTAGCCTAATTTCCTGGTGAGGTTGTCTTCTCTCTGGTGTCTCCTTCACTTTCAACTGGACCAGCTCGGAGGTAGCCATTTTATCTGTACTTCTCATTTGGACTCAGGATATTTTCAATGTTGTTTCGAAAAGAAAAATATATCTGCAATCTAGTTTGTGAAAATTCAGACATCGATAGAAGGGTTTAAAATCTTGTATTGATGTCAGCAACATATGCCAACTTCAAGGAGTGAAAAATCAACTTCTCATAAAAATATGTCTCTTTCTCCTGGGGTTACGAAATAAATAGCAACATTTTCATTTAATCTCAGAATAAATATATTCAGAATATAAAAATTAATTCTTATTAACACTCAGTGGTATGAATAATGAAATGCTTTTAACTCAGAAGAAGTTCACAATTTTCGAAAAAAAATTCTCCCATTTCAAAATATTCAAAATAAAGGCCCCAATCCAGATCTTGACCACCGTACCCAACACCTTCATATAGGCGGTGACATTGATCCTGAGGCCCTGCAAGAAGAAGTGGGATGAAAATGACATTGTCCCTGTTACTCATGACCACCAAGATGATCGCAGACAACGTGGGCATCGTGTGCATCATCTTAGGCACCTCCACGGGTCCGTATAGAGCCACCCGTCGTTCCCCACTTTCCCCTGGCCACTTTCAAGAAGCAGATTATTGACAGATCAATGAGTTTAGCAGATTGTGGCATGAACACGGCGTTCCCTTGAAGTCAAAAAGTCATCTGAAAGAGAAACTAGAATATTAACCTATGCCGCGTAACATTATGATCGGTGGTCTTTTATTATGGAAAATAATCGTTTTAGACTCATTGAAAGAGTGTTCTCAAATACATGACGCACTCTATTTACACTATCTATATTCGGACAATTGTCCTCGTGTTTATTGTTGTTATCACAGGCCATTGTACTCTTCGGCCTTCCTTAGGTGTACATTGATCTGGGTAACCTACAGGGAATTCTGAACTGAAGCCTTTATTTTATCTAAGGAGGTAGTTTAAACGTTTTGCTTTACCGCATATCAACCTCAATAGGTTATTTAATGCCGACAAGATTTTTATTCCTAGTAATATTTTTTTTCAAAAATGTACTGCTGGTAATAATTTTTCCAAAAAGCATTTCTGGTATTAAAACCTATTTTTATACTTTCATAGTGTTTTGTCCCGTTTTGGAGGGGTTAACTATTTGCCCATAGCTGGGACCCTAACAGGTATTACCACCCCGGGTCAAGATGAATCTGGGAACACCAGCAATTAGGAGGTGGTTCCACGCTTCTCAAAACCTCCTGATCAAAGGCCTTGCTGTCGGATGTGGTTTATCGTCTTACCCAGGACGCGGATCTAGTTTATCGTCATACCCAGGACAGACAAAGGTGAGGATAATAGTCCAAATATAAATAGTGTGAATAAATATAACTCCTCATCCCAGATATTATCTGTTGTAATATATTCTTTATTCT